AGTAACTTTAGTAATATACTTCTCTTTAGCTTTAATATAAATCTTATAGCTTTAAATAGAAATAATATAAAAAAGCTCTATATAAGCTTTAATTTATATAGAGAGCTAATAAAAAAGTTAATAACTTTATTAGAATAATAAAATAATAAAGACTTATTAAGGTCTCTTTATTAATATTATAATAAGTAAAATAGTTATAACTAAGAGAAGTAAACTCTTTTTAGTAGTAGATTATACTCTTATTACTCTAATAGATTATTAGCTTTATAGTATTAGAATAATAAAAGATAAGTATTTATATTAATATAAGCTAACTTAATAAACTTATTAGAGTAATAAATATACTAAATAATATTACCTAAAGAAATAATTAGTTCTAAAATAAGCCTAAAATATAAAGATAATATACTTCACTTAAAGATATTATAATAAGCTATAATATTACTAAGCCTCTTAGCTTTAGCTATAGTAGATATATATTTTAAATAAAAAACTTTATAGGGAGGTTTTTAGGTATTATTTAAAGAGATACTACTAAAGATAAGTTAATATAAATAAAAGCTTTAATAGAATATTAAGAAAGTAATAAAAAAATAAAATAGAAATATATAAAAATAAGCGTCTTAATAATAAAGTAGGGGGAGAGAAGCTAGTTAAAATAGATATATAAACCTTAACTTTCTAAAGCGTAGAAGAAGTTATTAAAGAGGTTAAACTCCTTAAAAATAGGCTTTTTATAATTAGAGAAGTTAATAAACTTAAAATACTTAGAGGGTGAGGTATTACTAATAATAATAAAAAGAGATTTTATCTCTATATTAAAGTTTAATAAAGTAAGCTATATTAAGTTAATTATAGTGAAATAATAAGGAAAAAGTAGATATTTTTATATAAGTAGTATTATTATAGAAGTAGAGAGAATAAATTAATTAGATCTAAATAAGTTAGTAATTAATAAAGATTAGAGGTTAATTAACTTATATAAATAATAAGCTAAAAGTATATTAGAAATACTATTAGAATAATAAAAAGTTAGCTAAAATAATATTATAATTAATTAATTAACTTACTACTATATAAGTTAATAAGAGAAGGAAAAATAGAAAGTAAATTAGGTATAAAAAATCCTATTATTATATTATTTACTTATAAAGTATAAAGTAGTTAATAGCTTAGATTAATATAATATTAGCCCTATTTATAGCTTATATTAACTACTTTTAGCTTATACTATAACTATACTTATATAAAAGCTAGAGGAGGGGGTATATATTATAAGCTATACCTATTATTAACGTCTAAGTAGTACTATAAACTTAGGAGAATTCTACTCTTAGTAACTATATTCGCTTAACTACTACTTTATACTTATTTTTCCTCTATATAAGGGGTTTCCTAGAACTCTCCCCTCTTTAGCTTAGATTCCTATAATTAAGGCACCTCTAAGTTAAATAAACTAAAGGCTAGCCCCTCATAGTAAGGGTTATAATAAAAGTAGTATAAGGAGTCTTTAAGTATCTTATACTTTTATTACTACTTCACATTATAGTAATTAAAAATCTACTATTTTAGGTATATAGGGTTAATTTTTTATATAAACTTAATAGTACTTTAGATTTTAGCCTTTTTTAGTGTATTATAGTAAGTATAAGCTATTTTTATATAGGTAGATTAATAGAGAAAAAATTAGTGAAAAAATTAACGTAGGGGTGGTATTAAGGGGAAAAAATAGGTGGCAGAGTGGTGAGGTGGGTGGCGTATAGTGTGCGGGTTTTTTTGCAAACCGGGTGAGGGGGCCTCAAGATAGCAGTCATGCCCTAGCGCCTCAAGTGTGGCTTTTCTCCTATTTTCCTTTGCAAGATTGATCTCGGTTCGCTCATTTGGGAGCTTGGCTGCCTCTGCTGTGGATGAATCGGTGACGATGGAATTGCGGTGCAGAGGTGATGAGAGGAGTGATTGGGGTGACATCGCGGGAGGCGAAATGTGCGAGCCAATGCAGCAAGGCGAATCAACCACCCCGGCCTCTCCGGCGCTGGAAACATGCTGCAGGCGGCAGACTTCTCTGCACGCAGTAATGCAGCGTCCCAAAAAGTTGTGAGTTGCGAGTTGTCTCTTTGGGTGGTGTGGTATTGTCCCGTCGTTGGGGGACGTCGTTGCGGCTTCAAGTGAGCGGTACCGACGGTTCGGACCAGGCTATGACGTGATTGCAGCGGTGCACGCCCGCGCCCCTCTTCGGCGATTTTTCAATATCCAAGGCGGATGAAAGCTGTAAGAAGCTTACTTGAGGGCGTGTATTACAACCTTCTAAGTTTCTGCGACGGCGTCGGATGGGGAGCATGTCACAGTAAGCCCTACGAACTGAGACATTTTGCGGCCCCCGATCTGGGAACGGCCCCATTTGCCGGGCTGCGGCGGCGTCGTCGTACATGCGTCCCCCCGACTTTCTCGTGCCGGATCGAAGGAAGGATGGTGCGTGGTGATGAGGTTGTGTAATTTCCTGCCCCTGGAGCCGATCGCTATGATCATGCATGTTCCCAGCAGAGCTGAAGTCGTCTGAAAAATTCCCATCCTGCTGTTCATCGCATTCTTCTTCTGCGGGTTTGTTTCTATTCTTATCAACGCACGTTGCTGTTGATGGCCGATTTTGGATGCATGAGACTATGTAAAAGGCGAAGATGTGCTGCTTGCTGTATTACAGCTGGTCAAGGACCTGCTCGCCGTGGGGAACTAAACCATCGTGGCGTCGCCGATCGGGGAGGGAACTGAGCCACTCAGCCACGGGCATCACGGCGTAGACACGAGGAGATCGTCGACCGTTGGGAGAGAGAAAGTCTTTTTGGAGGTAGGGACTCGGTGTGATGACGCCGGCCAACTCCTCCGCTTTCCAGAACATCAAGGATGGGGTCGGGCTTGCGGCAGGGTAGAGGGTGTGGTGTGTGATTGTGGTGGTGCGTTGGGTGGGTGCCGGCAGTTAAGACGCAGGGGAGAGGCGCATATACCCCCGCTTCCGTGTTCTCGACCGTCGTCAGAGGACGCCCAACGACATGTCGAGGCCTTGGTTTGTGGTTTGCTTTGCTCTTGAGCCTGGAGGAAGTTTGGTACACTAGTTTGGGTTGGGGTGTGGTTCGACACCGGTTTGTCTCCCCAGTGTTGTCAAAATCATATCATGTCTAATTCCCTTGTACAGAGGTATTGTTTGGCTCCTCTCGTCGCGGCACGTTGCCGTGTTCTTGGTATCCGCAAACATTTTGCCTTCGGCCCCGGATTTCTCGTCTGATTGTTGCATTTTCAACAAAGAGCATAAGGGGAAGGGGTGGGATAACCCGGCTGAGTGGGAGGGATAGAGTGCTTGCATTCGAATTACCCGACGCCTTGCCACTGCAACACACTGCAGTGACGATCGCATTTCCCTCGAAGCGGTTCGGTTATTGTATGCTACCTTGTTTTCTTCCCCTTGGGCCTTCGGGGCACCTTCCCAAAATCCTGTTCATGCAGTTTTGTATACGGTTTGTGAGGCTCGTTTTCGTCTGGATGGGTTGACGTATGCGGTGCCCCTGAGCGTGACAGGGAGTCTCTTTCAGGACTTCCTGGCTACGCTACCTACCGGCGAGGGTTTGATCAGCCGGCCGTTTTCCGTCATGCGAGATTTGTATAATGCGGGTTGTCTGTGTACAAGGAAAAGCCCATTGTCTCGGCGGTCTGGCGTCTGGTAGTTTGGCGCCGAAGCCTCCTGGGTCTCGGTTGCATTCCGTGGCTGCCACTGTCGTCAGTCTGGACCGCGAAGGTAGGGTTCTTGGTACCGATATCTTGTCACCTGTCATCCCCTCTTGTCTGAGATTCGAGGCTGTCGTCACCACCTGAGAGCGTTTCTGTGCGTGTCACATTGCGGTTTGTCTGATGTCGCCCAAGATCGGCAGAGGGTTGTTTTCTATGGTTTTCCTTGTTTGGAGACCTTGTCTTCTGCGCCTCGTGGAGTTCAGGTCGAGTGGCCACACTTACATGCCGGAGTCGAGCATGGTGCCGGGGGCATTTCGGTTGCTCTGCACTGCATACCTTGCGTTGGGTCGTGGGGTTTCTGACTTGTGCCTGCGTCTGGTTGCTTTGGTGCATCGTCCCAAGGCCCCATGTGGATGACCACGTCAATCCATCCTCTTCAGGGGAATCGTCCCGGAGCCGTTTGTCTTGTGTACCCCTGTCCAACGGCGTCTAGGTACTTCATAGTAGCTCTATTTCTCCTCGTCCACTTATACGCCTCGTCCAGTAAGGTAAAGGCTTCGAAGCCCCCCTCTCATTCGGTGTGTGGGCAACGGCAACCTATGATATCAAAGAAGGCGGCTGTTCATCTGCCAAGGTCACGGCTAAGCGGCCTCCAAACTGCATGTGGCAACCTCCTCAAGGCTCCATTGGAGATTCAGGTACCGATCTGATTAGTCTCCTCGAGGGAGCTGGTGTGCTGGCATGGATGGGGTGACTTTCATCTCCATCCAACCACGGCCCCCCGGTGCGTTCAGCAGACATGAAGAGGTCTCAGCTTATCGAGAGCCAGGGATGAGGAGAAGGAGGAGAGCCCCATGAGATCGACAGAGCCGTGTTCGTCACTCCACGAGCTTCGAGAGGTGGGCTATACCCGGTTCCAGATTATGGATGCTGGGTTCTATCACGATGTCACCCCAGCCGGGGGGGGGAGGGGGGGGGGGGGGCTACGATGGCGGCGCGAGCGCGGCCTGGTTTGCGCGCTGCGGACGATGGGGCATCGTCATCGAGAGGGAGCCCTGTGACGAAGGTCAAGACTGTGTATTCTGGGCTCGTTCTGGTTATTGTGGAATGTGTATAAAAGGCAACGTCTTGTCCAGGTAAATGGTCTCGTCTCTTCTCCTCATCAGCCCATCACCAGTCTTCAACTCTCAAGTCTAAAGAGCCTGCAGCTTCAAGCTTCAAATCAGCCTTCATTACCTACCAATCGTTACTCATACCACCAAACCACACAACAAACCATCACAATGCAGTTCCTTGTCGCCGTCGCCGCCCTCTTCGCCAGCGTCGCTGTCTCGGCACCCCTCGAAGAGCGCCAGGCCTACGTCGCTTGCTCCGGCCTCTACGGCACCGCTCAGTGCTGCGCTACTGACGTCCTCGGCGTTGCGGACCTCGACTGCGGCAACCCGCCCGAGACCGTGACCTCCGCGGACAACTTCAGCGAGGTCTGCTCTGCCATTGGACAGCGTGCTCGTTGCTGCGTCCTGCCCATCGTAAGTTACCTTTGATGAAGACAGTCTTAGGTTGAATAAGATGCTGACTATGTACACAGCTTGACCAGGGCATCCTCTGCAACACCCCCACTGGTGTCTCTGACTAAGTGCAAACTATGAGAAATGGACGGAGTTATAAGCTATTCTGAGCTATCAGGCTGTACGATGTTGGACGGTGTACTTGTACAGATTCGAATATTGGGCAACAATTGAGATACCTTGGGAGGGATTACGGGCTAAGGTTTGGTGTCACGAGAGATGGAAAATGCGCCGCTGTTATGCGGCTGTATAAAACTTGTCTAGTTGGAATAAATTTCCTTGATCGCAGTCGGAGCTACGCCGTGCATCTGGTCCTGGTACCGGCCGTCCATGACCGACTATCCCGGCCAAAGCCAGACCCATCCGGCGGAGGTACCGTGAACCCATTCCAGCCAACGGCACCGGAAACTTAGCAACAACCCGTCGCCGGAGGGATGAGAGACCGTGGAAGCTGCACACTTTACGCTCCCGGTGACGGAATATCGGAGATGGAGGGCAAGTCGGGCAGTGACGTTATGGACCGGTCTAGGCCTCCGTCAAGTTTGGGACGAATCCAAGGTGAGGAAATTGGGAAATTCGGTGTCGGTGGAAGCATGTGAGTCTGGTTTGTGCATCCCGACGCACAGACCGCCAGCTGGCAGCGCCTGCGCTACCCCACAATCCCGGCCCCGTCCGTCCCATCATTTCAACCAGTGGCGGTGCGTGAGTGGCTACTTCTTTTTTCTGATGGGCATGGCGTTAGCTCAGTATGACATCACCGGAGCATTTGGTCCTGGCGCCAGCCATTGCGGTTGCTGTGAGACTCAGACAGACAGCTCCAAGCTACCTACCAACACTGAACTCCACGAATACCGCCACAGCATCAGAATGGCACATGGTGAGGCAGATGAACACCTTTGTTGAAGCCAGTCCATCTCCTCGGCGTAGGGGACTCACGATAACAAATAACCCGCAGACAGCATAAATGGCATCCCGTCTCTCCCCAGTTTTCCCATCAAAGTACGGTTTCACCACCGGGCTCAAAACTGACCTGCAACCTTAATGTCCAGCGCCATGCACGCGCCGCCGCGGGTACGTATTGGGGCCTAAGAGGCTAAGAGGGCGGCAGCCCACTGACAGGGGGGAGCTACGTCATGCTGCGAGGAGGCAAGCTCCCGGGGAGCTCTGTGAGTGGCCACAGCAGCAGCTCCCGCATCGTCTTTTCAGCAGATCATCGTGGCATGTGGCCTGTCCCGGTCGATGCCATTGCATTGAATTGACGTGATTAACCGTAAATTGGGTGTCTGCCCTGGTTCTTTTCCTCTGTTTTTCAGCTGTGAGTAGCACTTCGGTGGGCAGCACCTCAGTGCTACCGAGCCACAGACGGGAGAAGGGGCGGGTGCACAGAAGCTCCAGGTGCGATCAGATCGGAGGAAGGAGCATACATCACATCAGACATGGTGCTTCTTGCCTGCCACTGGACTCTCTCCCTTGTGTGCAGAGCTCCTTCCCCATCCCCCACATTGCACTTGCCTCCTCTCATCCAATCTACGCTACCTAGGTAGGTGCTCCTGAGGCAGGAGGGCATCACATTTTTATGTACAATAGGCAGGCAGTCTCTGGTCTGGGCAGGTACGTATGTATGTACGTACATGCAGCACCAGCACCAGCAGCACCAGCAGCACCAGCAGCACCACCAGCTCGAGAGCAAGACCAGCACCCTGGGCCAAATGCAGCCACAATTTCCCACAAACGCAGTGCAGTGACGTGATGGATTCCTGACGTTAGACGTGAATTGGATACCTAGGTCCCGTCATTCATGGGCCACGGCCACGCCTTCCCTCCGTGCCTCCCTGTCGTCAACCCTCCACCAACCGCTACCCACGTACACCAATACCTTGCACACCTATTACGTCTAGCATCAAACAAAACAAAACCCCTCCCCCTTGGCAGCTTTCCACATTTTTCCCCTTCTGCCTCACTCTCACAGTAACTTCACCTTGTGTTTCTACTCTCTACTCGGTTCTTCCAGCTTTTCATTTTCGTGATACCCCCTCCCACTGCTCCTGCTTCATTGGAAGACTGATAGCAGACCGCCGCCATGCGTTTCCTCCCCGCCGTCCTCGCGGCTCTTGCCGCTCAGGGCGCCGTCGCCAGCTCCTGGTTCTCCAAGGCTGGTAAGTACATATTCACATCGACATCACTGCTTCTTGTGATCATGAGACTGACTTCGAATCTGCAGCTTACAACAAGTGGCACGAGACGGAGCTCGAGCGTTGGCTCTCCGACCACGACATCCCCTACCCCACTCCCGCCGACCGCAAGGATCTCGAGAAGCTCATCGAGAACAACTGGAATGACTACGTCGTCTCTCCCTACAACTCGTGGGACGCCGACAGCCTGCAGAAGTACCTTAAGACCAAGGGCGTCGAGACCGAGAACGCCGCCAAGGCCAACAAGGACTCTCTCGTCTCCCAGGTCCAGAGCACCTGGTATGAGACTGGCGATCAGGCTCAGAATGCCTACCTCAGCGTGAAGGACTGGATCCTGGATACCTGGACCGACAGCCAGCTGAAGGCTTTCTGCGACAAGCACGACATCCCTGGTATGCTCACCCAATTCTTGACACTGAAGAAATGGCCACTGACATCATTGTAGTTCCCCAGCCCCGCCAGCGTGACACCATTCTCTCCAAGGCTCGCTCCAGCTACGAGACCGTTGCTCAGAAGGCTGGCGAGACCGCCGCCTACCCCGGTAACTGGTTGTACGAGACTTGGTCTGGTAAGCTCAATAAGCTCTCGCTGCCATTGTTATTCACACTAACATTACGTAGAGTCTGATCTCAAGGAGTGGCTCGACACCCACGGTTTCCCCGCTCCCCAGGTCACCAACGTAAGTAGCACAGACAAACCCATTGTCAAAACCAAACTGACATCGTATTCCAGCGCGACAAGCTCATTGCCTCGGTTCGCCGCAACTCCCGCCTTGCTTACCTCAAGGCTCAGGAGCAGGCCGCCAGCGCCTCCGCCTCTGCCCAGCAAGCATACGCCACTTTGACTGACATGGTCATCGACGCTTGGAGCGAGTCTCAGCTCAAGGAGTTCGCTGACAAGAACGGCATTCCTGGTATGTGATCTGATTAACCTCCTTATCATTCTTGCCTAGTCTAACACGCCCCAGTTCCCCAAGGCACCAAGACCAACGAGCTCCGCGCTCTCATCCGCAAGAACCGCGCCGACTTCCTGAACAGCAACGTTGCTGGCAAGGCCTCCAACGCCTTTGGTGCTGCGACTTCCAATGTCAACCAGGCTGCTGCTCAGGCCACCGATGGTGTTTCTCGCGCCGCTCAGGAGGCATTTAACGAGGCCGTTGGCACTTGGTCCGAGAGCCGTCTCAAGGCTTACCTCGACGCCCGTGGCATCCCCGTTCCCCAGGGTTCCAAGACTGATGAGCTCCGTGCTCTTGTCCGCAAGAACCAGCACAAGGCTGCTTCCGGCTGGTCTGCCTGGACCTTCGATGATTTCTCCGTCGAGAACCTCAAGAAGTACCTCGCTTCCAGCAGCGATGCTACTGCCAAGAAGGCTGCTGAGAAGAAGGATGCCTCCCGTGATGAGCTCCTGAGTGCTGCTCAGTCTGCCTACAGCTCTGCTTCTTCTGCCGGCGGCACCAGCTACGCCTCCGTCACTAGCTACCTCAGTGCCGCCACCGACTCCGCCAAGTCGAGCGTCTTTGACACTTGGAGCGAGAGTGAGCTCAAGTCTTACCTCGACAGCTATGGCGTCAAGGTTCCCCAGACTTCCACCGTTGATGAACTCCGTGCCTACGCCCGCAAGCAGTACACGTACTTCAAGTACGGTACCTCGACTCCCTCCGAGACTCTTCTCGCTAAGATCGAGGAGAACGCCAAGGGCGCCTGGAACTGGGTTACGAACCAGATCGGTCTCGGTGCCGATGCTGCTCAGAAGAAGGCTGGTGAGGCGAAGGAGAAGGCTAAGCAGGAGTTGTAAGTATGTCTTCGACTCTTACCTATCTAGCACCATCACGATGGTGAAGGTGGCTTCATAAGCCACAGACTTACGACGGATGACAAAATTTGGGTTTCCGGCTTGCTTTTAATGACTTTGCACTTGGCTTTGGCATGGTTCGAGGGTTGTCTTACCTTCAGGACCCATGGGTAGTGTTGGCATCGGACTATTTTCGTTTGCCCCTTCTGCTTCTGGGGCCCAGGACTGTACACTATCAATTAGGAATGAAGCATAAGATGATAATTTGCCTACCACTGTCTGCGCACGTGTCATCGATGTGAACCTACGGCTGATTGTTAATGTAATGTGCAACAATAACTTTCATGATTCTTGATTTGGATGCATTGCGTAAAACACATTGTAACTTTTGATATCTTGGCTATTCATGTGAGTTGAGCTCATGTCCTCATTACCATGCCATGCGACCTCCCATTTCCACTTGACAAACGCCTACTTTCTGGGGTTCCTCCTCTGGGGAGGACGCTATCTGGAAAGGACACCCCTGACAATCCCATGCAAGTTCGGCTTGTTGTCAAAGACCAGCTCGTTGATGCCTGTCTCCTCGCCAGTACCCTGCTCCAGCCAGCGCGCCAACAGGTCGTTGCTCTCTTTGGGCTTGACAGTGTCGTCACGAGTGCCGACTGTGATGTGGGCCACAGCATTGGTGCACCTCCAGAAGCCCGAGTTGCTCGGGTCAACGAGACGCACGACGATCGCCATGATACGGTCGTCGAATACCACCTGTTTCGGTTAGTCTCGATATCACAGTAGGAGGGTTGTGTGTGAGTCTTACCCGCTCCATGTCGACATCGCACTGGCCCAGGGAAGGGATGTTAGCCTGGTTCTCGACCTGGCTTTCTGCAGCGGCGTGGGTGCTGAGGTACTCCTGCCACAAGTCCGGGTGCTCTTTGGCGCTTGCGCGGTGCATCAGAGTGACGTGGAATTTGGGCTGTACCCGACGTGTCTGAACAAGCTGCTTGTAGAAGCGCGCGAGAGGCATGCCTGCCTTGTTGAATGCGCCGTCGAGGACGCCACGAACCTCCTGGGCCGGGACGTCGACGGAC